TCCTTAGCTTCGACGGCTCGAACTTCATTTATCTCGGATTCCGAGAGCTTATAGCCCGACTAACTATCTACTACCCGAAGCTAGGTACGGTTCTAATTAGGGTGGATTTTAGGTTTAGAGTGCGAGAATAATAGTCTAATATTAAGGGCTTGTCTCTCCTTCGTAGTTAAGCCGATAAGGAGTAATCCTAGGGACTTATTAAGATACTGCCTCCTAGGCCGTTTATAAGTTACTATGCCGGTATAAATTACGGAGTTATCGCTATATAGCGTAGAGGGGCCCTAGTCTTCTTAATCGTATAGAGCAATATAAGCGCGAGCTTCCTCTTACCGAATAGCACTATACCTAAGCTTATATACTATAGCATCTATAAAGAAACCGGAATATAGATCTCGCTAAAGAAAATGCTTTAGAAGGGCGAATAGGAATAGCTAGGAGACCCTACTAGCTAATAGAGTGCGTATTACTCGGATACGTAATATTGCGAGGAGTAATGCCTTAAGAGCGTTAATCTTATACGAAGCTATAGGAAGATATAGGAGTAGAAAGGCGAAAAGAAAGGTTTGTAGTATACTAGCGGTTAAAGCAGCGCCTACGGCAGCTGCTTAACGATTAACTATAGCCTTCTCCTACTCTAGAATTAATTATTATACTACAAACTTTCGCGCTGTTAATTACATCTACCGTACATACTAACTTATTATTCGTAACGAGTCGTGGTCGTAAAGAGTTTAGCGTCTTCGGCTAAGGCGTATACCTTAAGTTTTACGAATAATAGATAGTAACTACTACGGTGCGTTTTTACGGAGATCTCTATAACAAAATATTTTTAGTATACTACGTACGCTTTAGGCCTTCGCGTCCCTACCTCCTTCGAATCTAGCTATACTAAAACGTTAGCGGTATTAATATAATATTATACGGAGTATTGCGATATAGCTTTTTTACCTATTATATAGTTATAATACTAGTATCTAATTCTATAAAGTAGTAACTCTTAAAGACCGCTTATATAGTATCTTCTCGTACTACGTATAGAGAGATATAATAGGTAAAGGAAAAGCTTAAACGCGCCCGTATAATAACGAAACTATAGGTTATACTATAGTATTAAGTTATCCGTTAAGATATAAACGCCGTTTATAACTAAGTGCTTTTAAAACTTCCTAAAACCTCTATTAACTATCTAGTATATCCTTATTCTTTTGTTCTACGATACTTAAATCGATTTCGCGTATAATTTGCTAGAGGCTAGCTAGTATTATTAGAATAGGACGAAACCTTTAAGATCGTTCGCTTATAGCTACTACTAAGGATACTAGGCTATTCCTTATTATCTGCTAGAGGTTCGGCCTTAATTTCTAGCTCCTATTTTACCTAGTAATATATTAGTAGTACTTTCGGCTTTATATACGAGCTATATATATATAATAAAGAATTTAGATATCGAAGGTAATAACTCGTTATTACTCTTATTACTTTTATTATCTTACGTAAGAGCTTCGGGTCCTCTAATATCGTTCTATAATAGTTAGCGTTTTCCTATTATACGCGTACTATATTATACGGAGCGATAAAGTATATATTTATAGCTCTAGCTTTACTAATAGCTCCTTTACCTCTAGCTTAACCTTAACCTTTGTTAAAAAGTGAAATCTAGGGACGAAGAGAGAGAGAAGCATCTAGGACAGTCGGGGTAAGCGAGTATAATTCAGAGAAGGAAGAGCCTTCTTAAAAGACTAAATATAAGTAGTTTCTTAGCAAAGGCACAGTTATTCCCTAGCCTATTAAATTCTAACACTCCCCTATAGCTATATCTCTATCTAAGAATTCCAAAATTTAAAAAGGAAGGAAAAAACTACTAAAAGGCACATTAGTGCTC